GATAATCTTCTTTTAATAAAAATGAAAAACTTAAAACTTAACTGTTGTAACAGCAAAGTAAGAAAAACTCTTAAATTGTCTTTCATTCATTTGCAATCATTTTGCAACTATAAAAATACATTTTAAGACTCAATTAAATTGTAAAAGAGAAAAATTGGTAGTCATCAAAAGAGATATTTTATAATGTTATAAGTAGGGGTATTCAGAATTTAAAATACAATTCTTAAGAAAAATTTCCTTTAACAATAGCAAAATTGAAAAAAAAAAAACTAATTTGCATGCAAAAAGTGATTTTAATTTGAAAATTAATATTCCACTTTAATTCAATCTAAATTCAATATTATTAATGTTAACTTTTAAGAAATTCATTTGAAATTGTTAAATTTTTTCATTTCCAAAATTGTAATGATTAAATGAAATTAATATAATTGTAATATGTAAAATTAGTAAATAATTATGACACATGACATTAGTATTGTCATTTTAATATTGGTAAAAATAAATTATCATTTTGAATTACAATTGGAATTATGTAGTGTTTACACGGTGAACAATTTACACTATAAATTAAATATTCTGAAAAAAATATGTTTGTACATACATATAAGTATGTATGAGAAAACTTGAATTAACCATTATAAACTTAGAATTAATATTCTTAAACCATTCTTATTAATTTTAATTTTCTTTTCATATTATATGCTATATAATATGGTAAAGAGCGTGTCAAAACATGTTTTATCGTCGTTCAACTAAAATCGAGCGATGTTTTTAATTTTTTTTTTTATGTTGTTTTCATCACAACATAATATTTTCAAGTACATATACATATTATGTATGTACATACATACTTACATATGTATATATGTGTATGGATTTATTAATTTTAATTAAAGGGTTAAAAAAAAATGTTATCAGTTATAGAAAACGGTGTAGGTACGATTTCTTTTCTCTTTTATACATGCCAACATACATTCATGCATACATAAAAACATAAAATTTGTATGCATACAATAACGTCAACAACATAAATATAAAAAGAATAATACACCACACGTCCTTTTAGCGGGATCTTTATAAATTCGAGATACGTACGTATTTATATGTGTGTATGTATGTATGTATGCATGGAAGTGTATATTTTATTATATTCGTGCTTTTTAATTGAGATAAATTGAAGTTTTTGATTTTATTTTCTTATTATTATACAGTATAACAAATTTAAAAGAAATATGTATAACTTTGTCACTTATTATATTTTTTAGAAGCGGGATGTTTTTAGCAATTCATACAAATTTCAACTGAATAAGAATTTTCATTTCATTGTACTTTAATTCGGCTTTTGTTAAAACTTATACGAAGCTAAATTTCCGTGGCATGTTAACATTTTTGACATCCGGAGTTAACGCGTTTAAAACATTTTCTTTCTTACAAGGGGGGGTTCTATTTTTAAATTTTGGAAAAATATATTGAAATGAATGTAAAATGATGTAAAGCTCATGAAAAGTGTGTGCTTAATTTTTTTTTCTTATGATGGTTTCTTAAAATCGGATTATACTGTATTCGATAATGTTGTATGACGTATGTATGTATAAAATTCAAAACAGATTTATGTTATTTTATTGGGATACAGGGCAGAACATGACCATATTATATATGCATATACATACATTAATATGTATAAACAAAGATATAATAAATATTTATAAGCAAATGTATATATGTGCATACATATATTATGAACATATTTGGTGCAAGTATTGAAAACATAAAAAATGCATCAGGTGTTTTCTCTCAAATTAAATGCTCTCAAATTAAATGTATAGTATAACAAACATAACATGTATGGGAGAAAAAAAAGGGATATTTACAAATACAAAAAAAAAAAAAGAAAACGAAATGTGGGAATTTTTTTCAGGACATGCTTAGGACATGTTTTAACTTGATTTTTGTTTAATATGATTTAAAGGAATCAACGAATGTGATGTTAAAAATTGGTAAAGAAAATTGATGTTGGTACTCACGACTTTTTTTTTTGTACCAGTTACATGCGATATGCAATGTTTTTTTTTTTTGTTTTATTATTAAAATTAAAATATGATGCAATTGGAAAATGAATTAAAGTTAAAAGCTTGAAATTACATATACTCGTATGCACATACAAAGGTACCTTTATAATTGTATATTATTCATATGTACATACATAATGTATACATAATATTTTATACCCGTACTTATAAAATAATCGCAATTGCAAAAAGACAAAAACGAATAAAATTTTCACGTTTATACAGGAAAATAATTAGGATTTGAATTAAATATACCTAATATCGAGTATCGATTTTCTATGTACACATGTACATTCATATATGTATTTTATGCTACTTGTTGATTCTTATTGTTTTGCTTGTTTTTTTTTGTTTTAGAATTAAGATCTCTCTCAGCAATGTGCTACTGTATTCTGTTTGTTATTGAAAAATAAAAATAAAAATAAGTAAAAATTAATTTCGAACACATAAATACGTATGTATGTATATCTAAATGCAAATTATTTAATATATATATATACATTTGTACATATGTACAAATATGTAGTAATATAAAAAATTCACAGTTTTCATCATAACTCATAAATTATTTTAAGATTAGTTTTAATAGTGACGTTATAGCAGTAAAACAAATACAACACTTAAGTTATGTAAGTTAAAAAAAACAAAATTATTAAATTATAAGAGAATAATTGTAAAAGAGTAGATTTTTAATTACAAATAATTAATTTTGAATAAATTAATTTGAGAGAGTAAACAATTCTACCGTGAAAATTATTTTAGGCATTTTAAGGAACATGAAAGCCATTTTAAGGAACGTGAAACCTAATATACAATAAAATAAAAAAAATTGCATATACTAGGGCGAAAATAAGTAAAATAAAGGTTTTCAATATAAAATCAAATTATTTATTTAAAAATTAAAACAAAGAAATTCAAAAATTAATTCATATAAAAATAAAAAATGAGTTTTAAATTTATGAATTTTTGATATTTAATTCAAATGATCAAAATTTTATTAATAAAGGCAATCACTTCCATTTTGTCATTGCGACTTAATTTATTTTTTAAATTTTCTATTTTATCTTATGTGTATATATATGTATCTAAGTAGTTTTATATTTTTGCAAAGTGTTAAAGTGTTAATCAGGTGATTTCCGTTTTTTAGGAATATTAATTTCGTTATTATCGCAATATTCTTTGTCGAATATAAACAAAAAGAATCCCCTTTATCTATATAGTTAGTGTCGCAAGAAACACAAAATTAAAACCACAACAAAATAAAAAATTTTAATAATACAATGGTTTTTTTTTTTCTATTTGTCATTATCTTTGTTTTACCTCTTATCATTAAATGACCAATCATCAACAAATTTATTAATATACCGTTATTTTAATATTTATATACATATATAAAATTTTACAATTTAATAATAAATTCTCTGTATACAGTTACTATAAGTAGATTAAGTATAAAGAACAATATACTTATAAGTATGATTAAGTAGATTAAGTATAAAGGGGTAGGTTATACATGTTCATAGAATTCGAATTTCGAAAAATATTTTATTTCGATAATTATTTTATTATATTTTGAATAACAATTTTTGAGTACTTATTTCTTGGATAAGTTACTAAAGAAATTGTATTTTTTGAATTATGTCACTGTTACAATAAATATGTTTTCTTATGACAATCATTCTAAAATTTGCTAATGGCTAAGAGAATCCGAATAAATTTGCTAAATTCACCAAATTCTGGAATGAATTTGCTAAATTCACCAAATTCATTCGGATTCTTTTAGCCATTAAATTCTGCTATAACATTATATTACGTAGACATTTATATACGTCTTACAATCCGGATTGAAATATTAATTGAAATGTTAAGAGAACTTGTTAAGTTACTGTTGCCATGTTGTAACTTGTTAACAATTTAATTTCCATTAAAAATTACAGGCGCATGTCTATGTGTGTTAATGCTAAAATAATAAATCATAATTTTAATGATCATAAAATAAATAAGTGAGAAAATTTTTTCGGAAAAATAAAATTGTTTTTTTTTTTTTTTTTTAAATCTACCCTATATAACTATAAACCTAATATTTTTAAGATTTAAATTTTGAAAATTTATAAGCTTTTTGTATGTACGTTAAAATTTGCTTATCAATGAATTTTCAAATTCAATCTTGTTTGTTTTTGTTTTGATACGGTCATATACGGAATATTTTGTAGGTGAAAAAAAAAATTTTTTTTTTCATATTAAATATGTAAACAAAGTGAAATTTTATTTACTCTCCTAAATCTCAATCACAAATCGTAAAATTTTTATTTACCATACATTATTTTTTACTCTCTTATTCTTCAATATAATTTCCCATAATAATCTTACAAAATACATCAAATACAAATATAATATTATTAATATTGTTAAAATTTTTAAAATTTGATTTTTTTTTCTTATCTTCTTCCTTTATAATAATATAAATTTGATATTAGGAAGGTATACAATAAAATACTCAATTTTTACTCACCTTAAAATTGAATTTATTTTATTATTGAAGTTTGTTATTACTCTCTCTCTCTCTCTTGATTTTGATTTCTCTTTGTTTTTTTTTTTGTGTTTTGTGGAGAAAATGATTAGATATTCACTTGCAGTTATAAAAATATCTTAATCATTATTAAAGAGTCGATACAAAGGAAAGGAAAGAAAGTCAAATTTTGCTTTATCAAATTAAGACATGTTCCTTATTTTTGATTCCTTTAAGAATTATCTATTTACATTATGTAAGTACATACGTAAAATAATATTAAATAAATGGTAATTTTTGTCATTTATATATTCATATATTTTAATTTTTTTTTTTACATTATTTTACATAAAATAAATTTTAATTTATTCCCTTTTTTTTTCAATTATTTTATATTTGTTTTTTTTTTTTTATATTTTCAGTTCTCAATTGAATTTTTAATAAAGTTCACATTAAATACGGAGATTGGAATAATCCAATCAATTCATACAAACATACATATATACATTTATTAATTGCAAAAGAAAAATAAATTAAAATTCAAAATGAGTTTTAATAATCATAGTAGAAGTAACAGTGATTGCGACATGCTGTCGTACAAGGAAATTTTACCAATATTTTTAGAAGATTTTCTACGTGATTTTTCATTTAACGATATTTATTTTCATCTATTAAATTGCGATATATTTACACAAGAAGAATTAAATAGAATAAAAACATTACAGGTGAGTTTTTAAATGAAATTCAAGAAAAAAATTTCAAAAAAAAAAAAAATAAAATAATAAAAATAAATTAAATTTATTATTGTATTGTTAAAATAAATGTAATAATAAAATTTTATTAATTTTAAAAAAATTTTTTTCTATTTCTAATATTTTAGGATAGTCAATTGTGGTCAATACAAGAATTAGAATCAATTTCATATCAGGAATTTGAATCACGACAAACATTATTAATGTTTACAATAGTTATTGATAAAAGAGATGATATTATAAGAAGATTTTTAGATATATTAAAAAAAGATTATTCATGGTTAACTAAAAAAGTATTAAATGCATATAAAATAATTGAAAATAAAGATCATTTACAATATTTATCAGCTGTATATGAATTACGTACAACATTTCCAAAACATTATGATTTTAATGTTCGACGTTTAAAATATGTAAGTATACATTATTTATAATATATAAATATAAATTAAATATTGTAAATATTTATAGTATATAAAATATAAATTAATTTAGTAAAGAAATGCAAATTAAATTTAATTAAAAATATACGTGAAAAATAAATTTAAAAGTAAAGAAGGCAGATATTAAAGCAAGGGTGATTTTCAGTAAAATGAAATTTTTTAATGTATATAATTAATTTACTAACTGAATTTATTTAATTTTTTGTCCTGATTTTTAAATTCAATTAAGTGAATATCGAATTTATACAGCAGTATTCATTAAAAAATTATATGTAGGGTTATTTACATTTATTTTATTTTTTTTTTGTATTTACTGTCTGAATTCGATTTATATTAATACCCCAATTTTAAATAGCAATAAAGTAAATTATTAAAATTTAAATTATTTTATAAAATATTTGCATAATTTATTTTGCACAAATATAGTTATTTTCATGTGAAATTTTATTACAAATTAATTAAATTAATTACAATTGATTAAAATTTTAAAGGATATATATATATATATACAATAATTACTGGGTATTTATTTTAAAAATTGTATGAATGAAAATTTTGTTTAGTAATTGCATTGTTATTAAATTTACTTGCATATCGCGCTTGTTAAAATTTAAAAAAATATTCTTTACAAACATTATTTTATTAATTTATTATTATAATTTAAAGAAAATGATTCATTAATAAGACGACGAGTATTTTTAATTTTTAAGATTAGATTTCTTAGTCATTTATTTCGAGAAATGAATTATCAATTATTGATATATATCTCGTATTACGGTACGGTATAAATAATAATATAATAAAATCGTAATTTCACTTATAAATATATGAGACAATTGTGCTGTCATTGAAAATAATTTTTTTTTTTTTCAAATATTTGGATGTAAGGCTAATTTTATTTATAAGATATAAGGAATACTTATGCAATAAAACATAATTGACATGCTATTTAAAGTGAAAATTAGTTCAAATCTGTTTTCTTAAGTTCAAATTTAAAATGCTATTTATTTAAGGTCATAAAATATTATATAATGAATTAGATATTAGCAAGGTTATTTCTAAAAATTAACAAGAAAAAATGTATATACATACTTATATCCACTTAAAATAAATATCAAAATAAACAAAAAGAAAATCTGATTTAAAGAAAATTAATGAATAATGGCATCAATTTCATTTTAAAATTTTTGGGTTGACAGAATTTCAATATATAGAAGTAAATAAATTTTATAAAAAAAAACTTGTATGTCACATTGTGTATTAAATTAATAGTTATTTTTTATTCTATATGATCACTACACTACGAGTATATCACAATTAATGACGCGTTTTTTTATTTATTAAATAAATTTAAATAAAAATTACATACTTATATATTGTTTTACATCATGTTATAATACGCTATATATATGCATATACATATGCACATACTACATATACATATGTCTATAAATAAATTTAAATTTTATAGATATTGTTCTAATTTTTTCTTTTGTATAACAGTATGTAATATAAAATTTGTGATATTATAAAAAAAAAAAATATTACATGATATTCTTCTTAAAATAGAATAATGTACATAAGTATGTACTTATAAAACAGGACAATGGTGACCTTGATTTGCGTGTAATTTTTAATAATTTTAAACAAAAAATGAACACACTCACATAGAATGGTTACAATTAATTAAAACAAAACAAACAAAAAAAAAAGATAAGAAAATTACGATAACATTTAAGTAGATCAATTTGTATCACAGGCTTGCTTGCGTTGCGGTTACGAAATAATTAAAAATTTATTACAAACTAAAATTTAAATAATGCGCATTTTTTTATTAGAACAATAAAAAAACAATAATTATTGTTTTATTGAACGTTAAACTGGCAGAAATCTGGTGATTATTAAAAAAAAAAAAAAGTAAAAAGAATTTTCAATCGAATCAGAAATTATTTGATATTTAAAATAAATTGATATTTAAAATTGAACAAAGAAATTTTTTTTTTAAAAATTTAATTGTGTGCAAAAAGACAATTCGGAACAAAATTATAATATTGTATGGTTTATTTTAAAAATATAGTAAGTCAAGTAAAAATTAAATATTGCTGCGTTTGCGTTTAAAGTAACTAAAAAAATCATTTATCTATGGTTATATACTTTGTAGTATATTTGTTTTTCTATCCAACAACATTAGTCCGTAACATCCGTTTTGCGAATGTAATTGCAAAGTTTGCACATAATATGAAGTACTTGCTTATAAAACAGTTTTGCTTTTTTGTAAAAATAATGCATTGCTTAGATTTTGCATTTTGGATTATAATTATAAACTCTTATTGGGCGTCATCAATTTATTAATGTCACATAATTTCTTTTTGACAATTTTATTCTTTAAAATTTTTTGTAGAAGAGTAACTTTTTTGTTAATTCAAACCAAATGCACAAGCTCCAAAAATTTATTTGTGCTATTAAATATATTTTTGCTTCTACAAAGTGTAAACTTTACAACTTGTATCGTATGATAAAAATATTCGGTTTGCAACCTGGATTATGTGATATGACATTGCTAGTTTAAATTTTTCAATTTAGAAAGTTAGGAAATTCAATTCTAATTTTTGACATTATCATTGTTTTGGTAAAAAAGTTGTTTGAAAATTGTAGTTTTAAGAGATAATTTGTATTTACATTTAATAAAAATAAAATTATAATAATTTTTTTTCCTTTTTCTTTTACAGTATTGCACTATACGAAATCATTTAAGAGAATTAAAACCTAAAAATTATTTAACAATTTATGGTGAATTAGGTTTTGGTAAAAAATGGTTAGCATTAGATGCATGTTGTGATTTTGCAACAATGAAAAAATTTGGTTTCAAAGTATATTGGATTGATGTACATAATTGTAATAGTCGTGAAAGAGATTTAGAAAAATTACAACAATTAAAAATATTATTAGGTGAATGTAATTTTCGTAAAAAATCTGGTGATTATGAAGGTATCGATAATAAAATATTGGAATTACAACAAGAATTACGTGCAATATTAAGACAAACAGAATATAAAAATTGTTTATTAATATTAGCTGATGTACAAAATCGTAAAACATTAGAAACATTTGATTTAAGATGTAAAATTTTAATAACAACACGTAATAAAAAATTAAAAGATTATATGCCAACATCATTAAATAAAGTAATACATATACAAGATGGTTTAACAAAATTTGAATATTTAAATATGTTTGAAAAAATTTTAATGAAATCAAAAAAATTTTTTCCTGATAATTCAACGGATTTATATGATTATAGTAAAGGTCATCCATTTTTATTAAATATGATTGCAAAAAATTTAAAACAGCAAATAAGTGATGAATGGTCACCATGGATTAGAAATTTAGAGAAATTTAAAATTGATGATAAAATTGCTAGTACAATACAATTATCATTAAATGTATTAAATAATGATGAAATGAATTTATTTAAAACATTAACAATATTTCATCATTCTGTTAAAATACCAGTTAAGGTAAAAATTTTATAATTTATTATCAATTTGTAATAAATCATTAATTTTATATAAATTTAATTTTAGGTATTAGCTGCACTTTGGAAAAAAAATGATCTTGAAGCTAAAAATATTATATTTAAATTTGATAAATTTTCATTAATTACAAAGGCTCAATTAAGTGATGGTTCAATGGCATGTGTAATACACTTTTTATATCATTCATATTTAAAAACCAGTACAATTTGTGATAATCGTATTGAATTGCATAGAAATTTAGTAGAAAATTACAGGTAAATTAATTATTTATTTAAAAATATGATTTTAATATAAAAATTAAATAATATTATTTATTTTGTATTTATATAATTTTAGGATTTCAAATGCATTAAATCATCGTTATGAATATGATTTAGTTGAATTACCGAATGATGATTATTTTCATTATTTTATTGGTTATCATTTACGTGAGGCAAATATGATTGAATATTTTCCAAAATTATATTTAGATTTTGGTTTCTTGGGTCAAAAATTACGTGCATCTGGATTACCAAATACAATTGGTGATTTAAAATATTATCGATCTGAAATAACTGGTGGTGATAAATACAGGGAGCAATTGGTTGATAGCCTATTAGAATTTTTACCAAATATTGAAGAAATGATATTTCGTTCAAGTGATACATATTTATTACAATATGCATTAATGGGTAATGGTATATTACATGAGGAAGCATATAAACAAGTTCAACAATTTCCAGATAAAATATTTTTTATTGATGGGTAAGAATTTCAAAATCAATTTTAATATAATGGCTTTAAGAAGAGCGTATATAATTATTTTATGTTATTGTTTGAGTATGTTTTGTTTTTTGTTTTGTTTAAAATATTGCTTATATTTTGTGCTTAATTATGTTAAATATAATATTAAAATTGAAATATATATTTTTTTCTATGTTTTTTTTTCTATTTTTCTTCCCTTAATCAACTCATATTTATGATTGGTGCTTAAAAATTTTATATAATCATCTTGCATTTTTTTCCCTGCATCCATCCGTTCATATATCACATAATACTCATCATTAAAACTCATCATTATTATCATAATCATTATCATGTTGTAATTTTATGTATTTTATATTAAAATATCAAAAAAAAAAAATCATCTTTCATACATAAAATTGTTGGAATATATCAAAATTAATCATTAATAACAAATAAAACAAAAAATAGATATGAATATCCAAATATACTAAATCCAACGAATAGTTTAAAAAATATTAAAAGACCAACCGAAATCAATTCTAGTGGACATTTTCATCGAAGGCGTCAAATGATCTCATTACCATATAAGCCAAAGCATTTAAAATTAATTGAACCAGATACATGTTTAATTGCTCTCGATAATAATATTATGTTATTGGCTGATCTTTCATTAGGATATAGTATTGAACCAACAAAATTTGAAGGACATCGAAGTGAAATTATTGAAATGGAAATGTTTGCAAAAAATTTCATAATTTCACTTGATCGGGAAGGTGAAGTAAGAATTTGGTCGATTGTAGATGAACGTAGAAGATCACTAGAACGTAAACATAGCAGTAGATCTGTTGTTAATCATATTGATTTTAATATTGAAAGAATGAGGAAGAAAGAATGCGTTCAAGTATGTAAAAATAAAAAATAAAATTAATTTATTTTTTTAAAATTCTGATAAATTAATTCAAATATATTTAATTTTATTTTAGGTGATCACAAAAAATATTGATGGACAAAAGATTAAAGTTCAAAATTTCCATTTGGATAATTATTCTGATGAAAGAGATATTTATTTACATTTAGTATTTAATAATGGCGATATATGTATATATAAATGGTCTGAAAATCAATATTGCTTTGAAGCTGAACGAATTCCAACATTACATTCACGTATTTTAAATATACGATTTTTAGTAAAATTATTTGATGAATATTATATATTATTGAATAATACTGGTAGTCTTAAAATCTATAAATTATTGGATAGTTCAAAAAGTTGTTTTTCATTTGAATGGCCACAAGATACAGATGCTCCAATACGTGTTCATTATTTTAAAACAAATGTTGAATCAGTAATTTTTGTTTTTGGTATGAAAATATTACAAGCAAATTTTCCAAAAACAAATTTTGAATTTTTAAAAGGTGATTTACAAGTTTTATACGAAACACAAGATCGACGTTCAGCTATAACATGTAGCTGTTTATCAGATGATAATCGTTATTTAATAATTGGTACAAAACAAGGTATTATTGTATTTGATGTTATCGAAAAATCTGAAATGTTACGTAACAGTATAAGCGAATCAATTGTATGCGTTGATATTTATACATTAGATGATCCAATTTATAAATATATTATTGTATCCGGTTCAGAAAAATATAGTGTATTAAATATATTTGGTTTAAAAATGAGTGGTAATGAATCAATAACATGGTCTAATAGTATTGGTACATTAGGTAAAGAAAAAACATCAAATCCACAATTTGAACCAAATGCTTGGTTATTAGGTGAAAAAATGTTTGATGTTAATTTTCGGGAAAATTCATCATCATTAGTTGCTGTTGATTCAAAAAATCGGGTATGTTTTTTTTTTTTTGCTAATATTATTTTTTAAAATAAATAAATAATATTTTTTAATAAATATTTTTTTTCCTCTTTTTATATTTTCATTAAAATAGATACATCGAATGACAACAGAAAATAAAAATTGGTCATTATTTGTACCGAAAGATATAAACTGTAAGATAACTGCCATAACATCATTAGATAATTTATGTTTCTATGGTTGTGAATGTGGAAAAATTTATTATTTAACTGGATCAAATGATAATTTTAGTAGCGGAAGTAGCAGTAGTACATTACGTTATGGTTCATTCTCAGATGAATCAGATTTAGAAGAAGAAGAATTATTTCATGGTATTATTAAAGAGAAACCAATAACATATTTAAAATTATTTAATAAAAATTTATTGGTTGCATCGTCATCACAAATAACAAAATGTTTGATAGTTTTTATAAATACAAAGCAAGTTTTTGATAAAAATATTAGTGTTGTAAATTCATTTATTGCTTTTAATGATCAATTTTTAATATTAATTGATGAGAATTGCTATTTCTATGTAAGTTTAATTCATAAATTACTTTTTAAAAATTTATAATTTACTTATTCAATTTTATATTTTTATACATATGTATATAATTTTGCATTTTAGGTAGTAAATTGTGCTAAAAACTGTGAAATACTATATCGTGATACTGACATATTTGAGAAATTTTATGATAATCCAAATGGACCATTATTGGGTGGTGCTGATTATAAAGATGGAACATTTGTTATTGGAACAATAAAATCAGATATTTTTGTAAGTTTTTTTTTTAGGAAATAAACTTTATTTGTTAAAAATTACGTAAAATTTTTCAAAATTTTATGAAAAAAAAAAAATGATAGATAGAAAAAAATAGAAAAATTCAAAAATTGGGTGCAAATTCTAATTGAAAAATTTAACAAAATAATTGCTACAATGTTTTTCAATTAAATAAATATTAATGTTTTTTTTTTTTTTTTAATTATTAAATAAGTTTATTAAATATAGAAGACATTGTTAATTAAAAAAAGAATATTATTATATTTCTTTCATTTTGTAGAGAAAACAAATATGAAATTGAATTTCGTTATTTTGATAAAAATAAAAATTAAACATAAGAAAAAATTCAATTTGTAATCAAAAGAATAATTTTTTTTTATGAATTTAAGAACATTTTAAATGATGATTGAGGACGTTAATGTCCCAAAAAAAATATGAAATAAGGTAAACCAAATTTTAAATAGAAAATTATAAAAATTGTTTTTTGAATTGTTAATCATTTTTAATCAACGAAATATTTATGTAAAGCACACAACTTATTATAAATGTTTTAATGTTTTATTTAATTTTTTATTGTTTAATAACATAACGCAAATATTCATAAGCATTTTTGATTCATTTACAAAAAAAAAAACAAATTTAAACGAAGAAAAAAGATCTGGAACAATACTAATTTAATTTCAAACCATAATATTAGTCTTCTCTCAGTCATTCATATTTGCTATTTTTTCTACATTTAATAATAATAATTAAATAACAATTAATTAATTTTTCTCCCTTTTTAATTTTTTAATTAATTTGGTTTTAATTGTTTTTAGATTTTTAAGCTAGAAAAGTTTAATATAAATAATTTTTATATAGTCTTAGAATTTAATTTTTGTTAATTAAAAATATAAATGAATCCGTCTATTTAAATGCATTTTTTTTTCTAATTTACTATATATGTAATTAATTTATCAAATGAAATTGAATTAATGGAATAGTCATAATTATATAAAATAAATTTGCATTTAGGTAAATATTTAAATTTTTATAAAATAGAAAAAAAAATTTATAGTTTCAAAAAAGTGTAAATGTAAACTTATAAAAGGTTCTTCTGAAAACTCAATTCTAATTTAGATTTGCTGTGTACATGTTTAATTGGAGTTGCTTAAACTATTAAGCAGTTCTTTTAGAAGTATAGAACTGCAATAATTTCATTTTATGTTTACATTTAAATTCTATTTTATTAATTCTTCAAATATATATTATTGTTATACATACTCGTACATACATTATATTATATCATTTAACTTGTAAATCTATTTTTTTTGAATTGATAGGGATGAATTAAATAATCCGAGATCTCTTTAGTATAAATGTTATAGATATAGTAATAAACCAATGTAGAACAGCTAATTTCCTAAAGTTACTAAAATGAAATTAAATTTAATTTTTATATTTACTTTCAGAATACGTTTATGAAAAAAGATTTTTTATAATTTTTAATTATTACGAAGAAGAGATTTAAAATATAGAATATAAATGATTACAATTCCTATAATGTTCTAGATTTTAGTTTAATTGAATTATTTCAATTTAAAATAACAAAAATTAACAACAATAATTGTAAATATATAAAAATAATAGGTGTTTATTTTAAAAATATCAGTTTAATTTTTCAATTTTTGTAAAATCATTGTAAATAGTTAGAATTTTTAAAGTAATAGTCATCGTTTTATGTCTTCACTCTTTGATAATCAAATATTTAATAAATAAAAAAAAACAGAAATAAATAAAAAATACTGATATATGTACATAAAAATGTGTACCATAATTCTTATTAAAGAATTTTTTAGTTTGTTTTTTATCTTAACAATTTTTGAAATAGTTTAAAAATCTCATTTTTATTTAAATCTCAGAATTATTTTTTTTTTTTAAATTCATTAATACATACATAAAAATGTTCATAAATAACCTTAAAAACAAAAAAACAGAGCACTCAATTAAAATATTCGCACGTGATTCTAATTTGTTTTAAATGTTCAATCATTTAAATAATTTATAAATATAAAATAAATTAATAAAATCATATTTTTTTCTAATTATATTAATTACTAATAACTATTTTGTTTCCTGTAGACCTACAGAATAAATTTGGAAGAATCAAATCAACTTTTAGACATTAATGTGTCAACATTTCAACGAAGTACTACAGAAGAGATTACATGTATAGCTGTATCAAGAGATACAAATTTATGTGCTGTTGGTTTAAAATCCGGCCAAATAGAGGTAAATGACTGCAATTGTAATTTATAAATTATGTAAATCTTAATTTTATTTAAGTTTAATACAAGATATATTTGATAAAAATTTTAGTTTATAAAATTTAGAATAAGTAATACTAATCTAGTTTTTTTTTCTTAATAATATTATTACAGGTTTATAGATATTCGGGTGATCAATTAATTATATTACAAAAATTAGATTCACATAAACAACAAATATATGATTTAAAATTTTCACCATGGCAAAATGATAATTTACCAATTGTATTAGCAAGTAGTTCAGAACAATTATGCTTTTGGGATATAACATATGTATTAAATAATCCATTAGATGGTAAAAGACGTCGTCATAGTTCACGTTTTAATTCAACAACATCAGCTAGTAATAGTCCAAATCGTTTAAGTACAATTAATCGTTCAATTGTTCCAATATATCCTAATACAAGTCAATTAAATAATGCTCTATTAGATGTCAGAAATCAACAACAGCAATTTAATCAACTACAACAACAACAACAACAATCGCATTCATTACAAAATCAAAATGTTTGGTCAAATAAAAAAGGACCATCTGATAAACCAGAGCTATTATCATGTATAAAATATGCTGGTGGTAGAGCTGAAAAATTTTATGCAAATTCAACATTTACAAAATTCGTTACTATTGATGATGAAGGAGAATATTATTTTTTGACTGTACAAGATGCTACACTTATAAATAATGAAAATAAAATATTTAATAATAATGATAATAAAAATATTAATAATAATAATAATAATAATAATAATAATATTCTAAATAGTACTAATTTAAGTAATTATTTTAATAATAAATTTTATAATTTAAATATTAATAATAATAATAATAATTATGGTACAAATGGTGGTTTATTTAATGGTCGTTATTCACATAACGACGATGATGATAATTTAAGTGATGATGTAATAATTTGACAAATCAGTAATACAAAAAATAATGAAATGAATAATTATAAAAATAATAAAATATTAAATAATTTATTTGTTATATTGTATTACATGATTGTTTGCATATTTTATATAAGTATAACGTTTAGTACCAATTTTTGAAATATCTCAAATTATATAATATATAAAAAATGAAAATTTAAAAAATTTCATTAAAAAAAAAAAAATATATGCCAACTTGTAAATCAATCAATTTAATTCCAACAAATTCAGACCAATCAGTAATTAAAAAGTCTTTTGAGGCTTATAAAATAATAAAAAAATTTTTAATATCTCATATTTGTTTCATTAGTTTTTTTGTTTTTCCGCCCCCATTAAATGAACATTTATTTTGTAATTAATTATAGATCAGTTATTAAAATAAGAATTAAATTGAGACAATTATTGTAAAATAATTTTAAAATTTTTTTATTTTAAATATTAAATTAATATAAAAAATTTATATGCACAATAATATTGGTAAATTAATAACAATCAATAAAAAAAGTTTACTAATTTTTTTTTTTAATTCTATTTTGTTTATTGTAATAAAAGTAATAATTATTATTTTTATATCATATCAGTTTATTTTTTTTTTTTTTTGTTAAAATATGCATTTATATAGAGAAAGATTAAAATAGTTCATTAAGAATACGGCAAACGTAAAAAATAAAGTAAAATAGAATTATTATTTTTACTTTTTTTTTTTACTTAATAATTCTCATGCACAATTTATATATATATAAAATATAATATGTTACATATTAATTATTTAATATTTTGAGAATCATAATTAATTAATTAATTTAATTTTTATGTTCATTCATTTATTATACAAAAAAAAAACAATTCTTTGATTGTAATATACACTTTGACTTAAATATGCAAAAAAAAAATATAAATAATTTTTTTAAAAAAAATTTTTAAAATATAAAAAAAAAAAACAAGTTGAATTTATAATATGATTTTTAGTTAATTAAAATTATTAGTTTATTATTGTGTATTTAAAAAAAAATAAATAAATAAATAAATATTACTTTTCTTGATTTAAATAAATTTTCAGAATTGAAATTTATTTTGTAATTGTAAATCAATTTAAAAAGAGAGAAAATAAAACAATTTGTAGATAAATTTTAGTTAATGTGTTTTTCTTAGCTTATTAATTATTAATATAAAAAATTAAATATACATAAAATATATATATATATATTATTCCATTTTTATGAAAAAAAAACTAAGTATTATAATTTTTGAAATTTTTGAAACAAAAATTTAAAATAGAAATATTTTTTTTTTTTTTATAGTGTAAATTTTTAAGAAGAATTTATCATTTCTATATAATGCATAAATTTATGCATAAATTAAACATTATTTAATATTGGGATTGAATATTAATTATTTAAAAAAAAATAATAAATCATATAATATAAATAATTTTAAAATGTTATAATTATAATGTAAAATATAATAATTAGGAAAAAAAATATATATTATATATTTTTTATTTTCAATATAAATACATAATGTATTTATAAAAATGTATTTAGAAAAAAATATAATTTTGAATGATTTTTTTCATTTCTTAATTTCATATTAAAATATATTTACAATTTTTATGTGTACAATGAAGTCTCAATAATTTAAGCAATAATAAAATAATTCCATTCATATAAATAAAAATTTGAAAATGAAATATTTAAAAAAAAAAAAAATAAATAAAATTTTACTTTTTTTTTTCATTTATCTAATCCGATTTGTAAAATATTATAAATTGTTTATAAATATAGTATCATTATACATAATAATGTAATTATAACAATTTTGTGCAGATCTATATAAAATTAAATGTTAAAAATTTTTATTTAAAATAAATCAATCTCTTAATAAAATAATTATAATATTAATTAATATAAAAAAAAAACAAAATTGGAAATTATAATTTAAAATATTTTTTTTGTTTGTTTTCTTTTTTATTTTATATATTATATACATATTAATTAATTTTTTTTTTTTTATTGTATTTTGTAAAAGTTGAGTATTGTTTAAAATTTTATTATATATAACATATTATTATACATTTTATAATATAAATTATATATTGTAAAGTACAGTTTATTATGAGTGTAATTAAATATCAATTAAATTAATTAAATATTAAATATTTGAATATTTTCATTGCTATAAACCATAAAATACAAAAAAAAAAAAAATAATTAAATTTTGTAATATTTATTAAATCATAAAAATAAATTAAAAATTAAATTAATTATTTACTTAAAATAAATATTTAGGGGTGAGCGGAGGGTGCATGTCATCATTATTTTTGATATCATAATTAAAAAATAAACTGTCAAAAAAAAATGTGCCATTGTGCATTGTAATTTTATATGAAAAATTATTATCATTCACTTCAATTTTTGTGACAACGATGACAGATATGCCTCCACTGTGTGTTTTAATTTAAATAATTAATTATTTTATAAATGAAAAACGAATATATTTCAATTTATGTAATTCTTTGTGAACTGTACTTTATTTATGATATAATCAAAATTACATAATGATAATCTATTTTTTTTTTTCATATATACAAATATAATATTTTTTTTTTTTTTTGTTTTTTCCTTTTATATTCGATTTCAAATTTAAAATAATTAAATTAAATTTAAAAAATGTAATACTGTTTTAAAATATTAATTTTTTGTAATAAAATCAAAATGTTTTAAAATTTTTTTTTTTTTTTTTTGTAATAAAATCAAATTAAATTATGTATTAAATAAATAATTAAATGAAATATATAAGTAAATAAATAAATATAAAAATATTATTCATAATTAATTTTCTTAAGTAAAATAAAATGAAAAAAAAAAAAAAATAAAGCAAAAGAGAAACAAAATAAGTTTTTTAAAATGGCCATAATTTTTGAACAATTGAAAATAAAATTTTTTAAAATAAATATATATTGTTTTTTTTTTATTATTATTATTATTGAAATTAGTAATAATTATTAATATACATAAAATAAATACTTATAATATTATTTAAAATCAATAAAAAAAAATTTTTTTTAATAAAAAACTTGTGAAGATTTTTTTTTTTTTTTTTGTTTTTTAAAGGATAATTTGTTATTATTACTTAGGTATTATATTTTTATATTTCTAAATGCTTATTTTGAAAAAAAAAATATGAAAATATTAATTAATTGCAGTCTTTTATTAAAATCTCTCTATAAAAGAAATAAATATTAAAATCGGAATGATTTATTTAAAATATAAAAAAGCATTTATACAATAACGCAATAATTTTAATAATTAAACAATAGAAAACTAATTTAACAATTAAATTCAATTTATTAATTGAAAATAAAATTTAATTTCCAAAAAATTATTTTATAATATTTTAAAATCTATGGAATTGATGTTATTTTTTTTATGTAACTTTAAATTCAAATTCTTCTTGAGGGTGCAATAAATTTTTTTAAGTGAAAAAAAAAATATTCGTACAAATTTTTATAAGTTTATGAAATAAAAATGATAAAATATTGCTTTTTTAAATTTAAATTAAAAAAAAAAATACCTCAACTTAATTTTATGTAAAAGCAAATACAATAATAATACAAAATTTTCACTGAAAATCACATATCACATATAATTATTTTAATTGTGATAAAATAATAATAATAATATACATTTTTAAATATAAAGGTGCTATAATACATATATTTTTTATACAATTTATAAAAGAAAATAATTGATAAGAGAATATTAAATTATTTTTAATAATAAAAAAAAATTCAATAAAGAAAATTACAAAAAAAACAAAAATAACAAGACAAAGAAGAATTTTGAATTTAAAAATCTAGTTATTCTAGTAAAAATATAAAAATTTCTTTCTTTCATCAATTCCATCTTGATCTAGTTTTAATTCGGAGAGAATAAAAATATTAGATTTCACATAAGTTCTGATCAAAATTTTTCCACTTTTGTATAGCAGTGGTTATCCACTGAACTGCAGTGGAAATCCATGGACTGCATTTTTTTTTTGTTTTCTTAAATTTCAAGATCAATACGATTAATTTGTTCTAGCGTTTATTTTGTTCTAGCGTATATTTTGTTCTAGGGCTGAATTTTCTTTTACCATTTTAATTTTTGTTAATAACAATTAATTATATTTGTAATAGCATTACGTTATAATAAAAAACTAGGAAAACAAAAAAAATAAGAAAAAAAAAAGGAGCAATGAAATTTTAGTAGAATTGTAAAAAAAAAAATTATAAAAAAATTGCCAAAAATTAATAATGGAAATTTGATAAAAAACAAAATAACAACGAAAAATGGACACAATAACAAAAAATTTTTGGAATATTTTTATTTAAATTTCTGTTAGCCTCTTGTTTTCCATAATACAAAAAGAGTGTTATTATTTTTTGTTAGAAATTTTTAGAAGATTAAATTAAATTTATTTAAGGCTGACTGTAAATGTTTATTTACAATTATGTAATTTTTTCATTTTTGTTCAAAAGTCCAAGAACTTCTTTCCTCATTGAATTAAAATCTTTTCATATATTTGAATTGAAAATTATTTTAGTAGTTAAAAAAATTAATATTATTAAAATTAAATTGTGTCTTTATTATCGGCCTTTATTTTTATTTTTATAAATATTATTTTGTTTTTTATTATATTGTGTATAAAACAAATCAAACCTCATTTTTAAAAAAAAATTATCCTTATAAAAATATTATTTAAAGTTATATATAATCACTCATATTCTATTACGAATTGCCTCATTTGAATTGATTGAATATTCAAGACAATTGATGAAAAATTGATTTTATTTAGAAGATGCGATTTAACAGAATGTGGATGAATATATACACATATTTATATATACATATATATATATAAAAATATATATATATTTATATGAAGGATAAAAGTCCAGTTTTCATAGATCTCAAATTCTTTGTAAATTTTTTTTGTTTTTTTTTTTTGTGTAACAATTTTTTTTTTAAAATAAAATAATTTTTAAAATATATATTTAATAAATATGCATAAATAAATGAATATAGTTAAATGAATTAAAATAATAATAATATAACAAAATAAATTTTTAAAATAAAAATATCTTTTATAAAGATAAGAAAATAAAAATATTTTTTAATGAATTAAAATAAATAAAATAATACTCTTGTTAAAATGAAAATTA